TGAATGAAGGAAACTTAAAAAGGTTAAATGCTGGTGTTTTCTTTGGAGAGAAATTTAAAGGTAAAAGTTTAAATTTTGCTTAATGAGAAAAAAAAAAGAATGATTTTAGGAAAGTGGTATTTTATATTTTACTGGGTATATTATTTTCTTTCTGACTTCTTCAGAGTAACCTCTTAACAATGAATTCAAGTTCATATTCTTAAACTTTATCAAAAATCTATAGTTTTATCATGAACTTTTCTTGGCTAGTTTTGAAGTTACATTACTGTATACCAACATAGCTCTGAATGAAACAATACACACTTGGCCTCATGTTTATTCTTTCAAAATGCTGCAATCATTATTGATCTCTCTGGATTAGTCTATAAAAGAACTTGTAGAATTTGAACAAAAGGTTCTTGCTTTCACTTTAATGAGGAAGACTTCAATCAAATTAATAGTTTGACTGTGGGACATTCTTTGGCACATTTTCCATCAGGTTTGTTCATGATACATTACAAAAAACATGGCTCAGTTATTGTACAGCTGATTACATGTATTTGTTATACACACACAGACACACTATGTTAGTTTCCCTAAATCATACTTCTTAAATATTTTAATTCAAAGCACCAAAAAAAACATCAATTTCCTAAGTGAATTTATGAACCAGAGGACTCTTTCTTTTCTTTATATGCTAATTAAAAGATACACTAAAGGTTTTACTGTTGATTGCTATCATAAGCACACATTTATGTGTTTATACTCTGATTTTCAGAGTGTTGTTATAAATACATTAACTCCTTCAGCATGGGCTCGGTCCCTGGGACCGACCTCGTAACCATCTTGTGCTTGTTATAGTATTCATGTTATAACTTTTAAATTGGTTAGCGTATGTTAACCCTTTCAAGACGGGTCACAGGTGAAAAGCCATGTCATTTCATTTGTTGACTCGCATTCAAAATTTTATTGAACTACTGTTTCATGAATTTATGTCAATAAGTTTGGTATCAAACTGTAGATTATAATTCAGATTTTAATACTATACATTACTCAATTTCCTATTTTAAAAGTAAATATTAAAAAAACACAGAAAAAACATCAATTTTTGTGTGTCACATGGTATGTTGAATGCAGCACTGGTTCAAATTAGATGTTTGTGAAGTCAAAATACTAAATTTACAGTTTCAAATTACAGATATAGACATGCTAGAATATAAAATAAGAATGTCTTATCTTTTTTACTTGCTAAGATATTGCTCATGTAATAAATCAAACACAGTGGCACCCCACCCACTTTTTTCCATTTTTGGAAACACTCCCTTAAATTCACTTACTTCTATATATATGATATGAATAACCAATCAAAAGCTCAGAATGTCCCCCAAGTGGCTTTCTTGGTCTATTTTAAATTCTTAGGACAGGATCTCTTTCTTTCGATCCAAGATTTTAAGGAGGTATGTTGTGTCTTTATTCTGCTCAAAATGTCATTTTTTTTAGACTGAATAACAGCGTAGCTGCTAAGCTTGATAAGTTATAGTGAAATTCTATGGTATTGATGTAGTAATTTATTTTTTTGGTTATTCAACTGTATATAGAAAACCTAAAAAAATTATTTGTTTTATTTACTCCACATGCCAAATTTTAAAAGGCACTAAAGGTTTTACTGTTCTAGGTCAAGTAGCAACTGAGTACAAAGGTCATAACTAGAAGAGATAATTGTTTGCTTTACTTCTTTATTTGCTGTTCTGTGTTATAAGAAAAATAAGTTTA